GGGATGGGATGGGATGGGATGGGAGGGGATGGGATGGGATGGGAGGGGATGCGGTGGCTCCGCCCACCGGCCCGCCCGCGCGCGCCGCCTCGCGCCCCCTGCCGGCCCTGCGGCGCTGGCGCGCGGGCGGGTCACGTGACGGCGCTCAGCTGACCGCGGGGAGCGGCGGCGCGGGCCCAGGGTGAGCGGCCGGGCTGGGCCGGGCCGGGCTGGGCCGGGCCGGGCCGGGTCGGGTCTGGCTGGGCTGGGCTGGGCTGAGTGCGGCCCCGGCGGTGGCTCCGCTCCTCACTGTCCTTCTCCCGCAGATGAACGGGGACGTGGCCGAGCCGGCGCCGGTGTGGGAGCGGCCGTGGTCGCTGGACGAGATCCGTAAGGGCAGCCAGAGCTGGTCCTTGGCCTCGGACGCCGGGGTGAGCGCTGCGGCCGGAACCGGGCCTGAGCCCGATACCGGAGGGGTGCGCGGGCCGCGGCCTCCCCGGGGCCGTGAAGGGGCGGTGCTGCCGCCCGCTGGCCGGGGGTCTCGAAACGGGCCTGCCGCGGGAAGAATGCTTTAAACCTCCGGTCCTGGCAGGAAAACTGAAATGAGGAGTTGACCCGAACGGAGGTGCAGAATAAAGTGGCTGAGACTTGGTCCTATGTGTGTGCGTGGGAGTGTTTCAGTGTAATGTGCGTGTATTTTGGTCCTTATTTGAAGTCTATGATTAATTCTGCCTGTCTTACAAACGATGCCAAAAGGAAAAAGAGTTGGATGCTGACTATTGTTTTCCTTTGTTGTTGTCAACAGCTTCTGCATTTTCTACAAGAGTTCTCACAGCAGACCATTTCAAGGACACATGAAATCAAAAAACAGGTGGACGGATTGATTAGTGAAACAAAAGCTACAGACTGTCGCCTTCATAATGTCTTCAATGACTTTCTTATGTTGTCCAACACGCAGTTCATAGAGAATGTGAGTGTGTTGTAGTGTAACATCAAACTTGTACTTCAGACATTGTCTCTTACTGTAGTGTGGAGAAGTGATTTAGCTTTCTGGCAAGTCTGATGCTTATTTAGGGATGAAGTGACTTTTAATTGTATTCTGTTAAAGGATATTCTAATTCCCTTGTGAGTGATGCACTATCCAATATTGGCAGGTTCCCTTTGCCTTTTCAGCAATACCTTCCTTCCTTGCTAATGCATGACTAGGAGATCAGAGTTTTGGTTTTAGAACTGTGAATTAATTGGGAATTCGGACATGTCTTGGTTTACCTTCTCAAGTTGCATGACTGTAGCATTTGCCTGCACTTACCTGTCTAAATATGAGGAATTTACAGTGCTGTAAATTTGCCTAATGGTGTTATTTTACTCTAAAAGCATTTGATGTTAAAGCTGTTGGCCTGCAGGCAGTTATGCCCTTTGTGTGGTCGTGACAATGTTAATGTTGCCACTTTATAGATATCTCTATTTTGAAAGATAAAGCTAGCTTTGAAAGCCTGTTGCAGTATCGTATCACTAGAAGTATGTGTCTAATGAAGATGGAGGACATTAATAGTATTTTAGATTTTTTGAGGGTTTTTAGCACCTGTGAGTTTTATCAGGTGTTTTGTTTTGATCAGCATTATTTCAGGCCCTACGTGTCTCAACATGGCATTATTATTGGAAAGATGGTGGCAGATGAAAAGATGAAAAACTGGATTTATATTCTGGTGGTAGTGGTTTTTTTCAGAGCTGCAGTGTCCTTTTTGACCTAGCTTGGCTGTTAAGTACAATAATTCTGCTGAGAACTGGTTGTACCAAGTGTTTTAAATCTCATGTGCTTACAGCTGTTTGTTCCCAAATTAAGGTGCACAGAAATAGGTCTTCATTTCTGATTTTCAGTTTAGTTAGTGAGAGAGCTGTCTCTTCTCAGGGGATAACTGCATCTGTGTTTGAGATTTGGATTTAGGTTTGCAGGTTCCATGGAGATCTTTTATTCCCCTTTGTCTCCTTGTAGCTGGTCCTACAAAAGAGTGCTAAAAGAGCTGGATGTGGGGGGATCATCAGAACAGACTGAAGGTTGAGGGATGTTGTGAACCCACTCTGTGAGTATGGAAGGAAAGCTACTAAATTACAGAAAGCTAAAGGAAAGTATACAGCTGATAGCCTTCTCCAAGGCCTCAGGTCAAAAGCGGTGTTATTTTGAGGGTCAGTGTCAGAAAGCACAGAAAGTTTAAAACTCCCAGGCTTTAGAGTTCCAACAAACAGCTCTAAGTAAACTATAAGTTTCACTCTGAAGGTTTTGGGAAGGTTAAAAGTGAATTTTTTATCATGTTCAGGTAATTCAAGTCTGTTAGCAGACATGAATTACCTCAGTTGCATTGAGAGGCTGCTGATGGTACCTTCACTACCAATGCATGAAGGTACTTGTCATCATCCATGGCTTCCTTTTTTTAATGTGTAATGAATTAATGTGTAATTAATTCTATATTAACGGTGTATTTTGTTGTGGTACCCATGGTTTAGCCCCTGTAGTAGTACATTGTTCTTACATGAATTAATTTTGCTTGACTTTTTAGAGAGTATATGATGAAGAAGTGGAAGAACCTACTCCCAAAGCTGATGTTGGAGACAAAACAGAGCAGGTAGTGTATGTCACTCAAACATAAATTTGACAGTGATATTGAAGGCTACTACAGTGTGTGATCATCTGTTAGGGCCTCCCCAAGCTCAGTACTGTGCCCAGCAGACAAGACTTATGCATTGATTGTTCAAGTAGTTATGCATGTTTTTTCAGCAAGAGGACTAAGGCCTTGGGCAACCTTACTGTATTCACAGGTAGTGAATTGGGGAAGCAGAATCTGACTGGAATAATTCCTAGGAATAAGTACTCAGAGAGCCTTTATATGTATATGTGTGTGTGTGTTACAATCTAGGTGTATTATACACTAATGTCCCCATAATAGTTTAGGAGCACAAATAAAACAATACTGTGCTGGTGTGGATGTTTAGAACATCTCTGTTTCTGTACTGATGAATATTAAGTCAAGCAAAAAAACCAAAAAATTCTGATTGTCCTCCTAATGCACATAGTGAAAAAGCTTTCATTGTGTTGATTTGAAATTAACATTTTGTGTGTGTATTGTGGTAAGATTGAGTTTTAAGTAAAATGCAATGAGCCTGTGTTTTTTCTGTTACTAAAGGAAAAGACGCGGGAACAGAAAGAAGCTGATCTAATCCCTAAAATTCAAGAAGCAGTGAATTATGGGTTGCAGGTTTTGGACAGTGCATTTGAACAGCTAGACATCAAAGCAGGGAACTCTGACTCAGAAGAGGAAGAAAGTAACGAAAGAGTGGAACTGATACTTGAGCCAAAGGTACAGGGACCTGTTCTTGTTGGGTTTGTTTTGCTTTTTTGGACTTGCTCTTTGCTTCTATCAGCTATAACACTGCCTCAATGTAAAATTGATGTTACCTAAACCTGTTACCTAAAAAGAGGATTTGATGACTGCATCTGAAGAAGTGCTCTCTGTTGAGCTATTCCTTGTGTAACCTGCTTGTCTTACAGTTAGGTTAGCATTAAGGTATGGCACTCTAAAGGAAGGTAGTTTAATGGAGTCAACTACGAAGGGGAAGCCTTAGTTTTATGTGGGAGTGGGATGTACAAATTTCATGCTTTTTAGGTACAAACCATATCTTTATGGGTATTTTTTACTGTCCCAGTAATTAAAAATCCAAGGTCCAGGTTTTGGGATAAGACTCATGCCTGTAGAATATCCTTGCAAGGATATTCTTCTGTTAGATGGCATGTAGAAAACAAGTCGGGACTACTCAAATGGAAGTAGCCACTTTCTTTTGCAGTGTTGAGAGGAATGAACCTCAGCTAGCCCACCCGGTTGTATGTTGACTTGTAGCATATGTTTGGTGGGACTCTAAACAAGCTTGTACCTTTCTTAAGTTAAAACAAGGAGTGTAAGACTTCTGTCTTTGTCAGCCGTGCAGGGCTGTTCAGAGATGTCAGAAAGACCTGATGTTTTCTCTTTCCAGGATCTCTATATTGACAGACCTTTACCTTACCTGATTGGCTCTCAGCAGTTTATGGAACAGGATGATGTTGGCCTTGGAGATCTTTCTAGTGAAGGTATGTGCTGGCATGACCTTTTATTTCTGTGCAAGTAATTAGTTCCTAATCCAAGATTTCTGACTGTTTTAAATCACTGCTTGGTTATCCTGTGTGCTGTTCTTGCACGTTTAGATGCAAACTGGGGAAAAAATGTTCATCATGCTGTAACAATCACTTTGCCAATATACGAAGCAGTAACTTCTCAGTTACCTGTTCTTTGTGTATTAGAAATGCAAATTTCATCATCTTTCAAAGCTCTTTCAAACCACTCTCTACCCACCTGAATTTTAGTTTTCTTCACAGAGTCTTCAGGTTGCTTAAATGGTGACTACATTGTTCTGTGTCTGTCTGATCTCACCTTTTTTGTTTCCATTTAAATTAGAAGGATCAGTAGATAGTGATCGTGGAAGTGTAATTGACAGTGAAGAGAAGGATGAGGAGGTAAGTGGCAAGTTCCAGCTGCTTTGTACAAGCATTCCTTGCATGTGAGGCCATTGACTACCTTGCTTTTTGATGTTGGCTTTCAAGACACTACTGCACGATGTTTGTGCCCTGTGTTGGTTGTGGTAAATTTACTTCCTGTTACTGTTCTTATGCAGTGGTTTCCTCTGCAGCTTTCCAGAGGAACATTTATGTGGTACTGATTCTAGCTGTTAGGAAAGTAGAATACTTCAAACTGAAGTGTTTTATTCCATTCTAAATTAATTTTGTGAAGCAAATCAGATTCTTATAAAGAATTGAATTTATGCAGAACAAATCTGTTGTAAATTAGAGTTACAAAGAATGGGATGGAGACTGACAGGAAAAAGTTTAAGTAAAAAGCTTTAAGTAATGCACCTCCAGGCTTTGCCTCATAAATCTGCTGCATTGGCATATCAGTTTCTGATATGTTTTGCCTGCTTTGGCTGGGATGTCTCTGCTTTGCAACTGTGCTTTGGAAGCAGTCTCTTTCTCCTCAGGTGTTTGCTTTTAGTGGTTTTGCTCACTTAAAGTGAAATCCCTTTTGAGTTACTTGGATGCAGTCGCAATGGGACCTGCTGTCTTTGCTGAATTAATGACTTTCTAATGAGCTCCTTTCATAAAGATGGTCAGCAGTGGGGGAACAATTTCTTGGTCAGATCATGACGAGGAGATCTGAATGTCCAAACTTCAGGTTCAGAGTTTCTGAGCCTTCTCCCTTAACCACTGGATGAAGTAATGTGTAATACTTGTCTCTGGGTCTCTTGTGTTACAGGAATCAGATGATGAATTTGGAAACCCTAGTGAAGATGACCAAAAGACGGTATGGTTAAATGTTCTGGTACATGCCTGAAAGACTACACACCTGTGGCACAGTGTGCATGCAGGAAAGAAGAGATGAGAGCTCTAGACAATTGACTATTAGCAACTTTGTGAGGCCTGATTTTTATAACTTTTTATGGGAGAGTCCTGGCCAGATGGCACCATGTTCTGAAAATGAACCTGGATTGGGCTTAAAGACACGCTTGCAAGTTGTCATTAGATACAGAGCCTATGGGGATGGCATTGCCTGATAGGGGTTTTCTCAGGGATAACTTGGGAGACATGAGAGATCAAAGAATCTACCCCAGGAAAATTAGGCTTCTGTGGGTTTATTTGGTTTATAATTAAAATCCTGATCTTGCCATACAGGAGGCAAGGAACAGTACAGTTTGAGTATGGCATGAAATCAAAGATGTGAACATTATTAGATGTTTCAACAGTATATCCATTTAGATAATGAATGAGAAGGGAAAAGAAACGTTGAGATGGAAAAGTTCAAGCCTGATTTTAGTGACTGGTTTTAGAAGAAGGAATCTTATCCATATTTAGATGTGCCACTGCAAAAAACTTTTATGTGGGGTTCCTCAGTTTGGCATGATTTAATGTCAAAAGAGCAATGTTGCAAAAAGCAATCGTTATTTAATCTACTTATTAATAAAACAGTATTGCAAAAGCATTCAGATGTTACTTTAAGCTTAAGATCTTCATAGGGTAGCTTTGTATGCCTGATCTATTTTAAGATGAGCAAGTATCTTTGGGTTGTTGGTGATTTAGTTCAATTCTGGGCCCTTGCCTGTGCCAGCCCCCAGCTCTCATCCAGTTGACTTTATCTTTTTCACCCTCTTTTTAACGTGACTGAAACCAGGATGTGAGCATGTAGTGTCTGTTATTCTGCTGTTCAGATTATACTTTTTTTACAAGTTCACATCTAGTTCGCTAGATCACAGTATTCCTGTGTTAAGACTAAATACCAGATCTTGAGTTTGTGTATGGTAGTGGTGCACGCCTTGTGAGGGGAGCCTTTGTAGCCTCAGTTGCAGCATTCAGTAAGACAGCACAGAGTTGGGGTGTGCTAGAGAATGTAGCAACTTGCTTGGAGCTAGAAGCACTTCTTTCTTTACCTTTCAAAAGCTGTGAACTACTACTACTGTGCATCCTTTCTGTAAGTTTGATTTGAATGTTTTATCTTAGAAGATGTAATTTTATGCTTGTTTTGTAAACAGGATATTAATTGTTTTTTAGAGGGTAGTCCATATGAGTGATGAAGATGATGATGATGGCTGTGATCTCTTTGATTCTGAAAAAGAGGAGGACGAGGATGGAGACATAGATGAAAGCATAAAGCCTGTGAGTAATTGTTGCTTTCCTGGAGTGGGAGATTTGACTTCCTGTATGTAAAATCTGTTCTTAGAGGGATTATAATGCTAGCTCTCAAGTACCTGGAATAGAGTCCTGTAGGAAGTGCCTCCAGAAATCCTGAGTAATCTTTTAACATGATTGTTCAGGTGTTACCCCTTTAAACTGAAGGATTCCTGCACCTTAAGCAAGTATCAAAGTTGTCTTTCAAGAACATTAAGAAATGGATTGTTTCATTTTTGTGAGGAAAAGGCCTTTTGTTTCTCCTGTTTACAAAGCAAGGTGACATTAAAAATTACATGTTCATCAGAACTAGAAATTCTAAGTTTGTTTTTTTTTATTCTTGATGCACACCTAATCTCTGAACAGAAAGCTGTATTGCTTCTTCTGAGGGCTTCAGGCAAAGTCTAGACAAGATACTGTACAAGTCAGGCTATAGAATACAGTATTTATAATTACAATTGCATCAAGTTTCTAACTGGATCTTATGTAATTAATATGCTGTTATTTGTCCCTGCTGCTCAGAAAAAGAAGAGGCCAACATCATTTGCAGATGAGCTGGCAGCCCGAATCAAAGGAGAAGTGCCAGTCAGACAGGATGAAGAGCGTTCGTGTGAGTTACCTCCCAAGCTTTGAAAAGTGCTTGTACAGTAATGGGGGACTCATGAGAGTATGTGGGTAACAATACATGAAGTTACACAGACGTGTTATTTGAACATGTATTAGATAAAGCATGATGAGGAATTGCAGACACTATTTTGTGCTCTGAGAAACCCTTTGGCCATAACTCAGAGGACTGAATTGGAATTCACCGAGAGTTAATAGTGGAAAACACATTGCTTTCAGATCAGACAGGTCACGCTCAAAACACACATTATTGGAAAGGTTTTCTCTCCAATCTGATTCTCCCTCTGCATATTTGACTACTTGTGCTTTCTCCTGTTTCAAGTAAGTATGTGGAAGCTACTGACCACTGTGGTCTTTCTGTGAGCTCTACAGTGGAAAACACCTCAAGCAGTAGATTAGTGTTTCCATGTGGTGTGGATTGTTTGTTTTCTTTGTGGCTTAAATATACTGTTTTGAGGAAATTTTCCTTGCTACTGTTACTCATGATGTTTTAGACTAAAGAAAGCATTTGCTTTTGTGTTGCTTTCAAAGGGAGAGATCTCTCAAGTATTTAGTCTTGTAGCAAAGCAGCAGTTGAAAATAATTGGCTGAAGTTGAGTTGGCAAGTGCTTATGAGGTTCCTGTTGACCTGTAATATTGAGAAAATGAGCAGACGAGCTCTGTGTGTGTGTTCTTGCACAGTTCAAACAATCAAACTATGTCTGCTGATATAAGAGCATAAAACCTTACCCTATTCAGTTACAGGGAGATCTTCCAGTCATTGAAGTAACCTTGTAGGGCCAGAGAGATAAAACTGCGGCTTTGCATTTGGTAACTGAATGAAGACAATAATAAATCTGGAGTCATTTGAGGTGCTCAGAGGTTCTGCAAAGGTGTGGAACCTGTACTGTTTGGAATGCTGTGTTGCTTTCTGACATCTCAGGCGACACTAGTCTGCATGTGGACAACTGTATGGAGCCCCTGGTGCCTGACAGGATGATTCTATTCCAATTTTAGGCACTAGTTTTAGAAACTATCTTAGAATTGCTTCATCAGGTTGATTCATATGAAAGCACAGAGGTCAGCTTGATTTGCTGATTTTCAGGTTCTTTTTGCCATAAATTGATGTCAGACTGTAAGTAAAGGTGGACTAGTTTTTAATTGAAACTTTCTTCTTAAAGCCCTCTCATCAGAGCCCAAAACAAGGAAAACCCCAAAAGAGAAGAAAGAAGTTAGAGTCCCATCGGATGGTAGGATATCCTCCTCTCTTGTTTTTGAATTATGGGCTGGATTGTAAGCTACCACTTAAGAAATTGTGGCCTCTGCTATAGAGTCTGGATGGGATATCAATGAGCATCCTTCGAGGTGAATGGGTAAACAAATCTAGGTTGTGATGTGTGTGTAGATAAGGCTGGGAATACCCTTTGTGAGAGTTCTTCCTTTAATGTGGCCTTCTGGAGTAACTGCACAACCCAGTGTGTCTTCAGCAGCTTCTCTCTATGTGTCATGTTTATGAGAGCAGATGGAACCAAAGCCATTTTTATTTCGGTTGTCTCTAATTCCCTTTCCTGAAACTTGATCAGTCTTACCAAAGCTCATGGCTCTTGTACTTTCTAGATGAAGATGATGACATCTTCAAGCCTCCTAAACTGACTGATGAGGACTTCACACCATTTGGTTCAAGGGGTGGCCTCTTCAGTGGTGGAACAGGCCTCTTTGATGATGAAGAGGTGAGAATGCTGCAGATTGTAGAAATGGAGTGTTTCCACCTTTTAAAAACAAAACAAAAGATCCACGAAAATTCCCATCTCTGGAAGACACAGAGGACAAACAGCATTTTGTTGCTTGGTAATATTCAAGTGTTGTGGAATAGTATAGCTTTCCAGTGGGGAAACAGAACTACACATGTATCCCCTTGATACAGTGTCCTCTCTTCTGTCTCTCTTCTGTCTTCTCTCTACTGTTGAGAGATGAAAGTGTGGTTCAAGCTCTATATTAGACAGGTTCTCATTCTAGGAGAGCTTAATTGACCCTTTACTTGTAGCTCTGGTGGTAAATCAAATGCCATCCAGTTTGTTTATTTTAAATGAGTAGATTTCTATTAAAATGCCTGTGAAAATACTGAATTTTGTCATCCTATCTCTGACTGTGGGAGAAGTGTAAAGGAAAGAGAACCCTGAATGATACCATTCACACTTTACCTTTCACATACCATGTGTAGACAGCGCTACCACTGAGTTTCTCTCTGTGCTGTTAAGAGTTTCCTCTTGCAATTATGCTGTATTGTTTCATGTAGTTATTGTACAGTTCCTGGGATGCCTCTGTTGGCAAGAAAAGTTCAGTTTAAGTTTACTCTTGTGCTATGTAGAGCTGCCTTGAGGAAGAAATGGCATGAAGTGCATTTCTGACCTTATTTTACCACTGTGCACATGATGTCAGGGCTGGTTAAGATTTGAGAATACAGCTGTGTAAAGCAAATGATTGCCTCTGAGGGAGCTGGTACTGGTGACAGTCAAGATTAGTCCAGAACAGTAGTCAAAATGCTGCCTTTGTGGGATGTTGTGTTCATTGTTGCACCAAGAACAAAAGTCAGATGTTCCTTGGAGCCAAGGAGGTATTCAGCTGAAATTTGGAGGGAGGCCTCATGTTTCTCAAGCTTACCATGCCCAATCTACTAGAATATAGAAAACAAAACACCAAACAGGGACATTGTGTGTAGGGAGGGGGGATAGTTCCATGCAATGCTTTCCATTCTAACACAGCCTTTATTGAAAAAATGTTCGTTCTTTGTTTTTTAAGTGGAAGACAATATCTTAAAAGAATATTAAGAAAAATAATCTGATCGTGCAAGCCAGCTTTGTGTCAGTGCAAATTTGGATGAAGCCATGGCTGGTTACCTCTTGGTGACTTATTACTGAGACTGCTTTCCTCATCTGTGTAGACACAGGACAGCCAAGCACATCTCTGTGATTGTTGCCTGCCTGCATACACCTGTTCTTGTTTTTCTGTTGTCTGAAGTTAAGCATCTCAGAAGGGTGACTTCACTTTACTTGTGCATTGGAGGAGGCTGTGCTGTACCAGCAGGCAGACACAGCAGGGCAGCAGGCAAATAACAGCTGACGAATGGGCAATTGATCACTGACACCTCTGCCACACCCCTGTGCTCCTATACTCTTTCTGAAGTGTTTTGCCTTCTTTCTACAAAGTTTTATACAACGACCGTGCATTTTGAGTCTACAGGTAGTCAACCTCTAATACACAATTTGCAAAAGAGAGAGATTTTCAACAAATTAAGTGGTCAGTACTCAAAAAATCTGGAGGTTTCCTGGAAATCCAGGCTGTGATTGTTGGAGATTGGTACACGGCACTGCAACCTGAATACAAGAACAATGTGGGAGTGTCTTGCAATGCTTTTGAGCAGTAACGTGTTTCTCTGCACATTTGTTTTATCCACATGAAGTTCAGGAGTATTTTTATGCTTGTCCTGACCTGAATTTTTCACTCAAACCTTACTATATAAACTTCAGTAGGAAAGCTTAGAAGGGTATAATCAGGATCTAAACAGCTGTAGGTTAATTAGTATAAGTCCTTGAAGATGTGCAAATAAAAGATCATTCCTTCTCTTCAGCAGACAGACTAGTGATGAGTAAATTAAATTTTAGAAGAGAGCTGCTTTTCTGAATGTATACACTCAAGTTAATACTTGAGTACCTAGGTTTAAGTCTGTATTTGCAGACATCCTTTTGAGAAGGGAGTGGTGATACTGCCTCTGTCTTGGCTTAGAAGTGGACATTCAATATGGAAAAATCAGCATCCTTTATTTCCTACAAAAACAAATTCACCACTTCTTTTGCTTTGCATTTTCATCTATGATCAGAGTGATCTTTTTGCTGAAGCACCAAAAGGAGAAGAATCAAAAAAGAGAGAGGAGCGAGTCTCAGTAAGTGAAGGTAAGAACCAACAGTTGCCTCTTGTAGTGTTGTCTATGCTGTGATTTATTACTGCTATCAGCTACATTGTTTGTTCCCAAACTGGAAAGCCTGGTGTAGCAATGGCAGAGCAAGTCTCTTCTCCTCACCAGTCTTAGTAGAAAACAGCTGTGTTGAATTTTCCATGTGTTTGTTTGCTATGATCTGTTACACACACCTACTCCCCTAGAGCTGAAAGATGTCTTACTGCTGTTGGCAGAACTCTCTGCGTGTGCTGGGTTCCAACTTCTCAAGTGTACTTTGCACGATCCAGTTGGGAGTTTGAGGGGAGCAGAGATTTCTTCTTGCAGATTAATTCACATGAGTTTCCCACTAGGTGCATATCTAGACCCTCAAGGACTCTGAGCACACATTCTGTATTGCAGAACTTTTACTGAAGCAGTGTATTTTATGAATATTCAGATATGTGTTGGGAGATTAAGCCATTTTGTTTTGAATGTATTGTATTGAAGTGGTTTTGAGTGTGTATATGTGAACTGTTGTAAGTAATGCTGTATGTAAACATGTAATGTGGTTATAAGCTTCAGTGTATTAGAGCTGTTCAGTGGAGTTTAAATGGAAAAAAAATTAGACTATTACATACCTTTGCAAAAGCCCAGAAATTCAAGGAAAACGTGTAAAGACTTCTGAGCTGTTAAAAAAGAGACTCAGACAACTTCTTGGATTCCTGTTTCTGTGGTAGAGTTCTGAAGGCTTTGACAGCATAAAATAAGTGCATCCATTTGTATTGTACTTCCTATGATTTCAGCATCCTCTTCAAAGTCCCTAAAGAAAGTTCCTGCAGGTGCAGTATTTCTGTTTCCAGGTATGATTTATTCAATAGCCAATTGCTTCATGCACAAAATGCTCTTTTCTTTAAAACCTACTGCCGAGGTTTTAAAGAAAAAACTATCCAAATACAGCAGCACTGCATTGCTTGATCAGATGCTTCTACCATGCTAAGCCTAAACTGCAGCATGTTTTATTGATCATCAAAGATTCTGGAGGAGCCCTGAAGGTAGGTGTCACTGATGGCAGATGTTAGCAACTGTCAGCTTCAAGTGTTGTGCTCTGAACTTTTAAGAGTGTGTGTCACTTCAGCTGATATTATACAGCTTAGTTCTGCTGTGCTTGCAGTCACAGCTTCCACCTGTACTCTGAGAAGGAAGTGCATTTTGATCTTTCATATTTGATCATATTCCTCTGGGTTAGCAGAAGAATAGTTTAAACATCAAGTTCCTGTGTTTAGACCACCTTGTTTTTCTGGTTTTGATTCAGAGGATCTTGATACATAGAGAAAAAACAGATCTATAACCTGGAGCTGAAAGTAAAAAAGAATTGTACTAAGATCTCTGTTTCTTATTAGAATCCAAGCTGATCAATGAGAAGAAACACATCACCAGTCTTTTTGAATTTACTGACAAAGATTTCTGTCAGTATGCAGGCTCTTCACTTGATTGAAGTACCTGAATTTTAAATTTTGACCTTTGTTAATAAAGAACGGCTTCAGTTAAGTGAGCCCTCAGTCAGCATAAATTTTAAAGTAGGAAGTATACAGATACAGACTTTTTACTCCAGGGTCAAAGATACATGTCAACAATGGAACTTCTACATAATTGTAGAACTCAGTAGCAGAGTTTAAAATAGCAGATTGATCTGTGGGGTTTTTTTGTCTTCTTTCTTGGAGGTACTGTTGTATAAGCAGTGAGTTTAGAGTTTAGTTGCTCCCTCTCAACTTGCAGACAGGTTTTAAGTCACCGGAGAAAAGCCAAGAATGAAGCTCCTTTGCTATTCCAGTGAACAGTTTGTTTAGGAGCTCAAAAATCTTTAATAAATTACCAGATTTTCTGGCCATATTCCTGTCAATCCTGAGGCACTTTATAATTGCATAATACCTTTTTTTAAATACAAACCTGCTGCTGGATCAAATTTGTTCAGTCTGCTGACTTAACCATATAGCAGTTGTTCTGCTTTCTGCCAAACTTTCATTTAAGTATCTCCCCCACCTCTGTCTCATTTCCAAGCATCTACACATGAGAAGCAAAAAGACAGGCTTAGACCATTAGAAGTATTTGCAGATGATCGTGCACTTAGCACTGAGGCTGGACATTGCCACAGCAGATGCAGGAGCCAGCAGTCGCTCTGGCTGGCTCTGATTAATCACTGCCGTATCTGGTGTATGCCAAGCCCAGCCTCATACCACAGTACAGCCGGTGAGCTCACATGGCAAGTGTGGCTCCTGGGAAGAACTCAGTCACCTGTCCTTCCCTCTCCCCAAGCACTTTACCACTTTTATTGAGCCACAGTGATGTTAGGAGTTTATGTACTAGTTAGGAGAGCAGGATTCTGGTTTGAGAAGTCCACAGGGGCAACCATGTGGGGCTACCAAGTCTTCTAGTTTCAACACGGAGCCTTGCTGCTGTTTTTAGGGAAGATGAGCAGTTTTGAGGAAGAAGTGGCTGCAATGAGAGTGAGGGGCTGTCTGTGACTTGGCTTTATTAGAACGTGTCCAGCTAATGCTTTTGATGTGGCACTGTTGCAAGAGCGCCTTAAAAGTTGCTGAGATGGAAACTATACCTGACGTCACTTACTATGGCACAAATTCAGCTTTTTGGTAACTCTGGCAATGTTATTTTGGTTTTTATTCTGCCCCTGTCTGATCTCCAGGAGGAAGTGATGTGTTTAGTTCCACTGTAGTTGAGGAAAAAGACAAGAAATCTGCAGCACCGAGCACAGAAAAAACTCCTAAACAACCTGGGAAAGTTGTTCTGTTTGATAATGACGATGACTTCTTTGTGGAAGCAACTAAAAAGCCTCCAGCTCCAGGTACCTCTAAACATTTGTGGTGAAAGGTTAAACACTGAAGTTCATAAAAATTCAAACTGGTAGGAACCAATGAGTGATAATATTCAAACCTTCATCACTGCTCTTTCTGCTTGGGTTTTGAGGGGTTGTGGTTTTGATTGGTTTATGGTATTCTGTTGTAGAGGGGTTTTTTTGTCATTGGCATTTCTTTTCATCAGAGCCGTGTGGGGCTGGTTTGTACATTCTCTCCCCGGACTTTTCTCTCTAAGGATGCTCCTTTTACCACTAGGGCAGTATCTAGACTTGAATCAGGGAATTAGTACAGGCTTTATTCACGCAGCCTTGACTCTTTGCGCCCAAAGTTCCCTATCCCTGTGCTAAGCCAATACAAAACACTGGTTTAGAGGTGCCAGCTGACTCAGCTGTGTGCATATTCTGTCACCAGTGCTTTCAGGTAAGTGATGTTTCACTTTGACAGCTTGTCTGGCTTTTTCTCTCTATGTTGGTCATTGTTTAAATAGTATAGTATAGTATCTTTTGATACTCTCTTCTCTTGCTCTGTATTCCTCATTCCCTGTTTGTTTTGTCTCTTTATGTAGTCAAGTCCACAGCTGATCTGTTTGATGATGATGATGAAGGTGACTTATTCAAGGAGAAACCTGCCATTCCTTCTGTGGTTGCTGGCACAACTAAAGAAACACAAAGCCATAGGGAGGCAATAATGGAAAAAAAGGTAATGGCATAAAAATGGATTGTATGGCTGAGGTTTTAGGAATTGTTTATAGTGAAGTTGAAGTAGTCTTTCTATATACAACACAATGAAAATGATATGAAATAGGACTAGGTTCATAGGGTCTTCCATAATTTAGTGCTTCACTAGTCCTTAAATGCCTTTTGCCTTTTAAACTAGGGGTTTATTGGAAGTTTTCATTTTGGACAGTGATTGAAGGAGTCTTATTAAGACAGGATTGAAATGAGTGCAAAATGATAAGCTTCGGATAGTAATAAATGTTTATGGATTTCGTGGCTGAAGTGAAACCAGCCTGAGTTACGAACCTTTGGTGTCACAGTTCTGTGCTGCAGAGTCTGCTCTTACACCAGCCACTGACAGCAAGTTAACTGGTAACCCAGAGCTTGTGTGTATTATGGGAGAGGAGGGTGGGTGTCACAGTTCTACCTAAGCATATACAAAACTTGGAGTTTTTATAAAACTGTTTTTCAGCTGAAAACTCCTCTAAGTTGTAGAAAGCTCTGAGTGTGGTGCTGAGCACATACGTAGAGTTATGAGAACCTCCTAATACCACTCCACTTTGAGAACCGTGCCTTGAGGAAAGTAGTAATGTTTTTTGTTTCTATTTTAGATACTCATATGTATATACTCATTTTATACTTCCTGTCCAATTAGTGTTTGAACAGAATTAGCTGCAGTGACTCTTCTCCCCTCTGAACTGAGGGATACACTGCTGGGGATGTCTAATGCAAATTGCTGTAGCAATTTCTCCATATTGTCCTATGAGAAGCACCTGAGCACAGGCACCAAAGCCAGCTTCTGTTTCTGCTGCAGTGCAAGAGTATCCATGGTCAGTGAAGTGGGAGCAGTCATGGGAGGGAACTCACAGCACTTGCCCTTCCTGGAGAAGAGGATGAGAACTGGTTCAGCAGCCCCTCTCGTGCTTGGTCAGGAAGAGAGGGCTGTTTTATACTCCAAGCTTTATGACAGTAGTGCATGGGTCTGGGACCGTTCTAAGTTTAATGGCAGTATAGCTGGTGGCAGGCTGGGGATGTGCTGTGATAATGCAGGAAATGATGGCTGGCACAAATTGCCCTGTCCTTTATGAAAAACAGGTTGTTAAAAGAAACATTTTCCTTTAGCTCATGAGGCCTGGCATGAGTTGCTGCATACATCCTTCTGGTGAGAAGGATGGTGTGGCAGAGGAGGCCTGTGGTAAGACCTGCAAGTCACTTGTACATAGCACATGAGTTTTGGACTTCAGCCCACGTGTGACAAGCTTGGGTTCTATCCCTTCAGCTGCGGGCATTTTGCCATCAGCATGCCTCTTAGCAGGGGTCTGTCATGGTTTAGGAAAGGTACTTCCCAGTTTAGTGCCCCCACTCCAACCGGACTGTTGCTCACTCCTGCCACCCCTCTCTCCCTGGGGAGGGCTAAAGAGGGGAATTGGCGGCACAAAAGGTAAAGATCAGGGGTTGAGATAAAATCAATTTACTTGAAACAGCAATGAGATAAAGCGAACAGCAGCAGCAGCAATGCTAATGACTGAAGGTACAAAAAAGAGGCAAATGATTCTGCTGCCTCTGCCATGCTGAGCTGACTGGGAAAGAGTGCTTCTCCCTGGAAGAGACTCCCTTCCCCCTATGCCCAGCAATGACACTAGGTAGTATAAAATAACTTCTGGGTCGTGGTCACGCCCCCTCCTGGCTACTGTAAAAAAAGAGTCCCAGATGTGCCAGCCCTTACTGAATCTAAATGGGTGCTGATGCAGTGTCTTTCTTTGTCCTAAAGAGTCAACTATCTTCAGGTGAGGACTTCAAGCCTTTATCTGAAACACCTCCAAGAAAACAGAAGAGCCTTTTCTCTGATGAGGAGGATTCTGAAGTGAGTATTTCTTTGAGAAATCCCTACAGAAATCCCTACAGAAATCCTTGGGGTCTCAGTCAACCTGACTTCAGTCCACTTGTATATGGGGGCTCTCTATGCATTTTGTAGGATTCGGAAATCTGACATCCATGCACGTACTCCCAGCTGTCCTGAAAGTTCCTTCTTTCTCCAAGAGTGAAAGCCCTGTGATTGTTTTCCCTGTCTTCAGGGAGTTAAACATTCGTGGTACACACAGGTATAAATTAAAAGCGTGAAGACAGGAAGGAGCAGTAAATGAAGAGTAAGAATCATTAAAGACTGCATGTGTTTCGTTTTTGCTTTCAGCAAGCAAATAATCTGAAAAGATCAGGAAGATCCCTGTGCAGTTGCAAGTGATTGGTACATCAGATAAGGCATCCACTGCTTCATAAGCATTTTAAACATCGTTTTTCATAAGGAAAAACATGAATGTTCCCTTTAGAGTTCTTAAACATATACATTTCTTTGGTTTGCATAGGATTTGTTTTCATCAAGTAAACCTGTGAAGTCCAAAGCTACATCTCTCCCCACCAGCAAGTCCATGACAAAAGCTCCACTGTCCTTGTTTGATGATGACGAAGAGGTAAGTACCATTTCCTGATACTGCCTGTGTATGGGAACCCACCTGCACAGGATGTTGCAAATGCAGCAAGAAATATTCAGAAACTTACAACACTGGGCTTGCAAATGGAGCACTAAATTGATCTTGCATTGTACAGCAGTTCTGAGCATGTGGACAGCACTGTGGAGGAGAGTGGGAGTGGGGAGTCTTGCAAGTTCTTGAGGGCTTTTAAGTAGTTTGTAGTCAGTGCATTTCACCTCTGGACATGAAGGATGTTATCCCTGTGATTGATAGGACACTGATAGAGAACACTGAGCAGTAGCACAAATATGAGCTTCAAGAAGCTGTTGTATCCTAAACCTTGCTTCTCTTGTCATGGCTGTTGAATTCCTTCTTTTTCCCTCTTCAGTGTGTAAGAATCATGATTGCTAGTATGAAGCAGAGGTCAGAGCACAAGTTTGTGCAAGAAACCTTAAAAAAAACTTCAATTAGTGCATGCTTTAATTTTTTACCCAGTGGTAGTTGTTCAGGTCTCTTTATGCCTGTCCTCAGAATAAGATTCATTCTCCACTTCATTATATGGGTTAGAAACAGTGCCCCATTGTGTTGGCTGCTGTGCTACAGAATTGCTGAGTGGTGCTTTTTGGCTGCTGGTTACATCTTGTGGTGGAGAATCTGTGGGCCAGACCCAGGCTATGTGCTTACAGGTTTCTCGTCTTTCCAATGCTGTATGTGTGGAATTCCTTGTACCAGAATATGGTGTTTATACTTGAAATGGCCTTCCAAAAACACCATTTCTGTATCCTACTTATAGGAGAAGTGGATGGCAAAAGTATCTTACGTGCTGATGATTTCTCAACGAGCTTTTCATTGTGACTTTGGCTTTTTTATTGGATTTTTTAATAATATTATATTTTATTTTGTTTTAAGGATCTCTTTGGTGTGGGACCTGCCAAGAAGCACGAAGAAAAGCCTCCAGAAGAGAGAGCAAAACAGTCAGGGCCTCTCAAGAAAGCTTCCAGCTTATTCTTCAGCAGTGATGAAGAGGTAACTGAGGACTTAGATTTGGTTGAAGGTGGTTACTTTCAACTAGTTGCTGGGTTTTATACTGAGCAAAGCACAGACCAACTCTGCTGTGTTCACATGCCATACCTACCCCAATCCTTTGACTTCTTTGCAGCTAAGAAGACTGATCCTTGGTCCAAATTTTCATGGGGTCTAGGTAATAGAAGTCATGTGGAAGAGAAAATCAGTGTTTTAAATGTAATTTATAGAAAGTTTAATAGAAAATGAAGACTTTTGCCAACAAATCTGACTTAAAAACACTAAGAGGGAAAAATAAGTCTGTTCTTACTGCTTTAAATTCTGTAAGGAAAGTTTATCAGTTCTAGAGAGATATGTGTTGAGATTTTCTTTGTTTTGAGGTGTGTTTCTTTTGTATGTCGTTTTGTTTATTGGAATTTTTATTTGTTTAAGTTTTGCTTTTTTTTTTTTCTTTGTTTGACTTTGTTTTTTTAAATCTAGGGATAGGAAAATTATACATAAATAGTAAGGCTTCCCATAGAGCAGTCCTTTTCTAGGGATGGGCTAGGTATTGTCCTTCATCTTAAATGAAAGCCAGAGACACTGAAGTAAATTAAAAACTTAAAAACTTGTCTGGAAGCCTCTGAATTAGCTCATATGAATAGGATCCAGACTCTTCTTAGTCCTCCTATCTCTCAAAATTAGTCTGTTGCATAGACTTTATTACTTATCCTGTAATTGCTTGTTTAGTAGACAACAGTAATATCTTTAGATGCATTTTTATCTTAATGTAGAATAAACCAAGTTCAACCTTTGCCTTTCACAAAGAGGACAAACAAAGGTGAAATACTGGGGAAAACCACTTGACATGCTGGGAATAGCAAACCAGAAAAGGCAGAAGTATCCTGTTTAGTGTGTAGGCTTGAATAAATGGTAGCTGTAGGAGGAGATGGGTGCCTGGGGGAGAAGTACTGTGAAGGAAGTAAGTGCAGCATTGAGCACTCTAGTAATGAGGTGTCTTGGGTGTGTATGTGGTGGGATTTTTCTTTTTTTCATGTTTTTTCTGATACATCAATCTTGCTAACAATTAGTGGCTCCAATCAGGTTCTACTGAATGACCCTACTTTTGTGACACTGCAGTTGACACTGACCTCAGTTGTCAAAGGAGCTGTAACAAAGCGTGTGTACTGTATTTTGCTGGATTAATACTGTGCCAAAAGGTGACCAGGCCCTCTGCAAATCCTGAGCAATGTCAGATTACAGTGGCTAAAATGCAGGCAGCTAAGTAAACTAGTAGAGAGATGAAAGGACTGCCAAGATGATGAAGTGTTCCTTATAGAGAAGATTGCAAAGTGGCTTTGACCAAGACAAAAGAAAAGTTATTCCTTCTTTTTAAGGAACATTGGAATGTCCCCAAGCCAGCTAAACTTCCTTCTGAAGATGGCCAAAAAGAAGACCCTGCAAAACCAGCTAGCACTGTCAATCAGGTTAAAGATGTGAAGACGACAAGCCTTTTTGAGGAAGAAGATGAGGAGGACTTATTTGCAATCACTAAAGAGAGGTGACAGTCCTGGGAGGGGAGTGGGGAGGCATTTATTCAGAACAGCCCAGCAGGCCTTTCAAAACCAGATGGAGCCAGGCATATTGCAAGTGTTGGTTCCTGGTACTGTTGCTGAGGAGGAGGTAGGGGTGTGTGAGTAGGAAGGAGCAGTGCTGGGCTCTTTTGTATCTGTGGTGGGTCATTCTCCTTGCCAGCACTGAACTGGCCTTTCCGTTTCTATGCCAGTGATATAAAATCCTTTTGACCTTTTTTTATCTCCATTTCTTCAGAAAGCTTTGCAGACAAGAAAGAGGGTGTTGGAATTGTTGGGACAATAAGGAAGCCAAGTGCTGTATCTGGGAACACTTGCTGCAAATAATGGCCCTAAGTGATGCTTTTAAACAGATGTAGTGCGTGGCCACTGAATCTTCCACTTTCTTCTCTCTCTCACTGCAGCCAAAGGAAGCCACAGAAGCCATCATTGTTATTTGAAGATGATGATATTAATGGAGAATCGTTCTTCAGCTCCCAATCAATGCTACTTCCTTCAGCTGCTAAGGTAACTCCCCATTTTTTAAAAGTGACATGGAACACTTTTACAGTCTTTTTACAATCTGTCTTTGTCATTAGGTACTGAATATAAGTCTTAACTCGTTTTACACAATGGTAACTCTAACAAATTGGCAATGGGAACAGGGAAGACTGAACTCTTACATGTGCACTCTTACTACTATTAGCCTAATAGAGACGTCAAAATTTTCTTGACCACTTACCCTAAATTTGTTTGGTTTATGCTAAAAGCACTTCCTAAGGATGTTTTAAAAGCTGTCAACCATTAAATTACACTAAAAGGAGCAAACAGCTTACTGCTGACTCAGTAGCTAGGGTTAACCTCTCGTGTTACCCTACCCAAGATGATTCAGATGTGTAAACAGGCTTCTTACTGGCCCTCCCTTTTGTGTGCAAATGCCATTCTCTGTCTTACAATCTTAGCCCACGATGTACTGCCTGTCTGGTTGTGCTTTGGAATTGAGAGGAGGAGATGCAAAGCTGTATCTGTCGTTGGGATTCCTGTACGTGTGCTTCCTGGCACTCTTCAACCAGATTAAAAAACTCATAACACTGGAAATTAATAGTCACAAACCAGAATGTCCCATGGGAGGAAAATAGGAGAAGTCAAATATGTTGCCAGTGTCCTAGACCTCTGCAAACTGAGGCAAACTGAGACTCTGCTATCCCACAGCAGCATACACTTGTTATATATAACTACCAATTCTGTGTTGCCAACATTCTGCTGATTTTGCAGGAGAAAGTAAAACCAGCACAAGCACCACTTATCTTTAATGAAGAAGAAAAGGAGGAAAAGGAAGATCTGCCAGATAGAACAATGAAGTCTAACCAGGTAGAAGATACATTGTGGTGTTCTGAAGACCCTGGAGCAGCTCCTGTGTGTCGAGGAACAGATGTTGCAGAGCAGCAAACAAAGGAAAAAGTGAGGGATTTTCTTACATTAATCTGAAGTTTGGTAAAGATTCAGTTAAAAAAAAACCAATCAAACAGTGCTGCTCTGGCACAGAAATATTTTTCTGGATTGGAGGAAAGAGTAAATCAGTCTCCATTTGACAAAATCACTTTAAAAGTTGTTTCCTAACTGATGTTCTTGAGAGGGATTGGGATTTTTTGGGGGGAAGGAGGTTGGCAGAATGTTTCAGTTTTCCTTCCAGGGTGGGTTGGGTAATCTTATTTACATGAACAGAGCTTTCCCTTAAAACATAGCCTATATTAATATATAGATTTTTCTTCAAGCTCAGTAACTTTGTTTCACCATAATGTGTGATGATTTATAAAATGATAAGTGTTATTATGGCCTTCAGGATTGTGAATTTCAGCTGGGCAATACTGTTACAGAACAATATTGATGAGTATTGAGTGTACCATTGCAGAAGCTTCAGCAGAACTGATCTTGGGCACAGTCTTACTGAGTGATTGTCGAGGAATTACAAGCTGATGAATTTCCATTGTAGTTCTTACTCTTCACACTTTTCCTGAGCACATTTAAGGTTCTGGTACTGCTGTTTCCTCTAAAGTATCCCAAATGGTATGAGCTAGGTAACTCAGTGGAAAGCTGATCAGTGCAGCCTTGTGGTGCATATGCAACCTGACATAAAGATAAGGAGAAAAACTTACACAGCTTATCAATAGTGCCATAGGGTAGGGTGAAAATTTGGAGGAAATACAAGAGGAAATTTGTCTTCCTTTCAGAGCTGAAATTGCTTTCTTTATCAACTCTCTGTTGCTAACATGCATATTAATATTCTGTCTGTTTGGGAAAAGTTAGTTGAATACAGTTGCCTGCTTGGTAACAATTGCAGAACTCTGACCACTGTTGGTATTTCCCCAAGAAAGCTCAGCAGGGTTTTTGGTCAAACCTGAATTAAATAACAGGCTGATGTGTTACTTGTTTTTTTTTCTTCTTTGGTGGAGCCTTTTGCAGTAATATCTTCAGAGCCAGCTGGCAGTTCAGATCTGTTTGCAACATCACCACCAGCTCCGGGGAAAGATGTGAAAAGCCAAGCTAAGAAAGTGCTAAGCTTATTTGAGGAGGAAGAAGAGGAAAGACTGGAAGATAATAATGGCATAAAAAATGCACAGAAAGGAGCTGATGTGGTGAGTGTAAGGAAGTTCTTGAGCACTGGGAAATGGTATTTCTATCTCTGCTTTTCTAGGCAAGATTTTGTTTTCACCTTTCCCTCTCTTCATGTCATGCAGGCTTATGTTTCTCAATTTCTAGCCTTCCAGATTCTTGGGTGAGAAATAATTCCTGCTCTTCCTTGTGATCTTGAATCCTTCTGTAAATTTTCCTGTCCCACTAACTTGAAAGCATTTTGCTTCATGCTTAGATGAAAAGAAATTCTATACAGATGTTTTGGTGCAGCTACTTGATATTTGCTTTACAGAACTGATTCTTCAGTTACTCCTCAAGATCAAAGATACTAGGAAGTAAAAGCATGTGGACTTTTAAGCCTTGTGGTTTATATTTTTTATTACATTGTTACAGTTTGCTTTCTGGATATATGCCTTCAGACTTAGATTCAGCAATAATTATCTTAATCCTATGCTTACTTCTATTTTTCAAGTATGTGTGTTCATTTTTTTAGAAAAACTTCCAGCTGCTGTACTCTTAGTCTGGCTTTTCTGATAGAGTGTTTACCATCAAGAGGTGAACTTGGAATTTTCAGCAGCAATATCCTTGAATCTATGGCAATATTCTTGTTTCTGCTTTATGCAAATGTACTGAATTTTTTTCTGTAAATTTGAAATAGTGTCAAAAGGTACATACTCTATATTACAGTGTACCACAAAGCTTTGTCATCTTAGTGTGTAAAGTAAGCTGCCAATCCTAAAGCCTATGTACACTTTATTCAGAAGCCCTTGGAACTGAACGAAATAGGTGACTGTTGGAGAAAAATCATTGTTTAGAGCAGCTTCTGAGTTAAAATGCATTGTTAGCATGAATGAATACTGTGTTTGGTTTTTTGTGGGGAGCACACTGGGAGATGATTGAAAGAAGCCACATCTGTCCTATGAATTTGGAAAAATAGAAATCCATTTAAATCTTTCCTTCAAAGCTCTCATCTGTCAGCATATAGTAAGTAGTCACAAAGTGATTAAGGTGCTGAAATGCAAAAATCAGAATGGTAATTTATGGACTTCACATTTTTGATAGGCAAATCTGAAAGGTGCTACTATTTTTCCAGCTTATTTCAACTTAATATTTGTTTTGTGTGTGTCTAATTCTAGATGTGCATTAGGTTTTCACGTGTCTGGGCGTAAACAGCAGTTCTAGTGCTCTAAAAATGTGACTTGGCTTTTGATACGAAAATAAAGCTGGTGCACACAGAGGCTGAGAATGTAATGAAGAAATCACAGTAATAAAAAACATAGGGGAGGGTGTATGGATGAAAAATGATGTACTGGAAACTAAATTTAGGCAGCCCTTTGGGGTTCCTGGGGACTTGAATAGGAATGGGGAGAATCAGGCTTTATTCTTAGGATGACCACTCTTGCTGCCTGGATTTTGTGTGTGGTGTGATGGTACTGGACATCGAATCATGCTCTGAATAGGCACCTTTAATTTGAGTTGTTTTAATAGAGACAGATGGGTGGTAAAACATAGATATGGGCTTTTACCTGGATATTTGAGTGGGGCCTTTGCCTTTTTTGCAAGCCAGACCTGGGTGCCTACAATGACCACGATCATACAAAGGCATTGGTTTTGGTGCTTGAGGAGCTGATACTCATTACTTTGCCAATGTAATGGAGGTAATAGGGTGATACATGCAACTTCAGTCTTCCCCACAGCAGCAAATTTGAAAGTACAAGTTCTTGCCAAAGGCAGTATATTCTGTTCTTCTTTGAGGGTGTTTGCTTGCTTTCACAGGACAAGAACAGGGAATCTAGCAACAATAATAGCTTTACAGGTGCCTTCTGTTAAAAAAAAAATATTCTGTTTTTATTCTTCTTTGAAAATGTTGCTTAGGAAGGTAACTAAGAAATTCTCTTCCTTTCACTACTGTGTCCTGCATCCTTAGCTGAAATTTTTGAGGCATAAAAGTCTTACTGGAAAATAAACCTTACTGTACGGTCATGATAACATACTGAAAGCTTTTTTTTTTCTTTTGAAGAAAGCTTCACAAGTAAATAGTAGCAGCTGGATCTTAGATCAGCAGACAGAGATATTGTGGTGAATGTCTTCTCATTAAATTGAACTGTAAATACAAATATTTGAACTTTGTAAATACAAATATTTACATTGTAAGTTTTGCAAATTTGATCAAAATAAAACATACCCAGCAGTATAAGTTATATTTTTGTTACCAGTACAGAGCTGTAGTGTAGCCTCAGGGGAATTGTAACCTGCCTTATCATGAGGCAAATAACCTCCTCAGAGAGTTTCTCACTGTGTGGACCTTCCTTCTCTCCTTCCAGGCTTCTGAGAAAAGTCCTCGGCCCAAAAGCACTGGGGTCTTTCAAGATGAAGAGCTTCTCTTCAGTCACAAGCTTCAGAAGGACAATGACCCAGACGTTGACCTCTTTGCCAGCCCCAAGAAGTCAATGGTGAGTTCAAAGCCCTCCTCTGAACTTCCTATTTTAAAACAGTCTTTGAAATGTTCAGTGTCCTGGTGTTCCTTGTTTGGACACAGTTCGAAGTCACTGATTTCCAGGGAGGGCCAAATGCTAATGTCAGTTATATTCTGGTATCATGGGCTGAAAGAGATGGACTTTGGATCTGTGACACATCTTTCCTTTATCTTTTGTTGCTTTAGTCTGCAAACCGTATCCTGAAGCCACCACCTGGAGGAGGGCTTTTTGGGGATGATGATGAGGATGATCTCTTCAGTACTGCAAAAACAAACATTCCGGTACCTGTTTCTCTACTATAAATGGCTTATATAAAAGAGACTGGAAAAAAGTGTATGGAAAGGTTTTTCTCCATTTGTATACCCACAAGAAATGAAGTGACTTTTCAAATATTTTTGAGAGAACAGAAATGGTCATTGTGACTCTGAAGACATAGGAGGCAAACAGATGCATTGGGTCTCCCAACACTGGGATGAGAGAATTGGATCCTATTTTTGTGTACCGCTGGGACTGGCTTAGGTGTAAGAGAACATACCTGAACAGAAATCAGAGTAGTAGAGTTTGTTTTGTTTAATAGCTTAACTTGCTAGTTTACTTCCCTTTGCTTTATGCATGACTGATGAGCCGTGCTCTGAGTTGTGTAATTCAAGTTTCTGTAGGTTGGTTTGATCTCAGGTAATGATGCAGCATTAAAATCCTTATGGTCACCCAATTGCTTTTAGAGGGCGTGTAGCTGCAGTAATGAATTAAGACTCTGTTACAGGTGGTCTGAGGTCAAAGTCCTAACATACATTCTAAACTGCTATTTTTAAATATAATTATCTTTTAAATTGAAATTAACATTTACATTAGTTTATATTCATGTCTGTAGCTGGAAGTTAGGCTAGAAAACTGGCAATAGTTCCTGGAAACAGTTTCTTTGAGGACTCTGGACAGGGTGGTCTTTACTAATTAGTGCTTGGGAGACTATATGTGGAGCCTGGTTGCTTGAAAACATAAAAATAGCACTGTTCCTTAGCTAGTGTTGTGCTTTTGTTTTCTCTACTGTTTTGTTGATGAGGAAATACGCATTTGAAAATTTACTGAAACTCTCATTATTACTTGTTAGCACAGACAGCAAAGGTTGAGGTAGACTAAAGGAGTGGAGGAATGGAAGGCCCTTGCTTTGCAGAGCCATAAGTCAATGCCTGTTGTTGGAGTGACTTGACCTTGGCAGGATGCCAGACACTCAAAGCCCCTCTCTCAGTCCCCTCTGCAGCTGAACAAAGAAAATACAACAAAGTTATATTTTATATGAATGAATTAAGATAAGGACTGGGAGAGATCACTCACAAAATGCTGACACAGGCAAAACAGACTTGAGTTAGAGATATTTACTGAATTTTTTCTAGCAAAATCAGAGTGGAATAATGAGGAGTAAAATAAGACGTTAAAAACACCTTTCCCCTATCCATCTCTCCTTCCCAGCTCTACCTCCTCCTCCGAGTGGTGCAGGGAGATGGGAAATGGGGGTTAAGGTCAGTTCATCACACCTTGTTTCTGCCACTGCTCAGAGAAGGGAGTCCTCCTCTTGTTCCAGCATGGGGGAGACAGTTCTCCATGAACTTCCCCAACTTAAGTCCATCCCATGGGCAGTGGTTCTCCAGAAGCTGCTGCAGCATGGGTCAATCTTCCACGGTCTGCAGTCCTTCAGGTATAGCCTGTGCCAACCTGGGTCCCCCACAGGGGAAACCTGCACCAGTGTGGGCTCCTCTGCCACGGTTCTGCATGTCCCTGCCAGGAGCCAGGCTTCCCATGGGTTCACAGCCTCCTCCCAGGTATCCATCTACTCTGGCCTGGATCTCCTTCACAGGCTGTGAGTGAATCTCTGCACTCCTGTGGATCTCCATGGGCTACAGGGGCACAGCTGCCTCACCATGGTCTTCACTACAGGCTGCAGGGGAATCTCAGCTCTGGTGCCTGGAACACCTCCTCTCCCTCCTTCTGCACTCACCTTGGTGTCTGCAGGGCTGTTCCTCTCCCATGTTCTCACCCTACTTTTTTTCTGGCTGCAATTACATCTGTGCATCCGTCCTTGGAGCCACTAGGGATTGGCACTGCTAGATATGGTGAAAGCTTCTACCAGTTTCTCACGAAAGCCATTCCTGTAGCCCCCTACCACCTCTAACAAAAACTGGCCATGCAAACCAAATACAACTAAGCACAGCAGGATCAAAAGTTGTGGCTAGTTTTCTGTTCAGTTAAAAGCAAGATTTTAAAATTTTTGCTTGAGTTCTTTTGGGAGTTTGGGGGGTTTTTTTTGGATCTGCACACCATGCTTTTTACCCCATTCATGTTGACTTGTGCTCATAATGCTTTCAGAAAATGGCCGAGAAGAAAACTCTTCAGACCAGTGTTGACCCTTCCTCAGTGAGCAGTAATCTAGAAAATGCTTCAAGTGCCAAGCAAGATGAAACTCTGAAGACAGCAACTACAGAGGCAAGTACTTAAATCTTGTGCCTTAAATAGCATGCAAAGAAAAGGGAGATGTTTCATCTTGTTTTAAGTAAGTGTCTTGGAAAAAGGAAAACTAATGCCTGGATTCAGTGGCTGCCACGTGGCAATGCGTGGCCAAACTTCTCTGTTCATCAGCAGGTGCACTGTTACTAGCAAGATGTTTAAATGTTACTGATGTTTTATTCATTGCATATGCACTTTAAAAAGTGAAATGGCAGCGAAGAGCTACGCCCTAGGTCCAGTCGTACTGAAAATTATTTGTTTCTTCTTCTCTGAAGTGCCAGTATCTGTTGGGATGAATGTGATCTTTAAAGGTAGCCTTTCTCAGAGAGGATATCAGGGCATGCAGCATAAATCTGTGTCAGTTGAGACTCTTATGTTAGAGTCTTTATGGTGAGTAAACTAGATTCCTGTCCTTAAGCTTGCAGAATCAAAAGTCTCTGGGAGAGGTGATCTGGACTCGAGTTCTGGCCTGTGCCTCACCAATGCTTGATGGATTTTTATGTGTAGGAGATTAGCTTTTTGTTGTAGGGAGTGGGAGTTGTTTTTTCTCCCCTGGGCTGGAGAACACAGAGCACATCTGTAGGGCTGGTAATTAGCATGTCTTCCCTTTTTGTTAAGTGTTCCTTCAAGTGTAGAACCAGGCCATTCTTCCTGGTTTTTGTAGCTACTGACAGCCTGCTATAGGAATGGTTTCAGCCTGTCTGAGGTTAAACTGAACACCACATGCAATTAAGTAGAAAACAATCTCCTCAGATTCTAGGATTCCTCTGTCATGTTATTGAGCCCTTCAAATGAGTGTCCTAACCCTTGCAAACCCTCAGTTACTTCAACCTAGCTGAAGGAGCTCTGTCTGCCCAGTCATACCAACAGCAGTAGTACCTAGCTCACAGACCTATGCAGATGACAAACTTCTGGAGAGCAAACCCTGAGAAGTGCACCTTAGCTAATATGATTCATTTCTGGAGTCCTAGAATTGACCCAAGTCTTCACACCAAACAGCTTCTCTTGCTCTTTAGCCTAGTCTTCTTTCTAGTACTACTGGCCTGGTTTTTTAGAGGGACAGTCACTTCTCTGAAGCTGTTTTCCTTGAAGTCTGAGTGAAACAATTTTGAAGCCCTCTTGGTTTCCATGTGGGCTTCATTGAAGTCTGTAGTCCTATTACAGCTAGTCACAAAGAGAAAAGTTAGATCACTGCCTGGCAATATGGCTTCAGAGGATTTTAGGGGACAGAATAAGCAAGGAGAGCAAAGATTGCTGTCCTGGTTTGATTTGACTAGTGGTGGCAGTGACCTGGAGAAGATGGATGTTGTTCAGTTACCATGGTAAAGTATAATATTGGGTAGAAGAATAGGTGAATGAAATGTGATAATGAAGATGGGGCCATGGCATGTGGGAAACCGAAAACTTAGTGACTATAGCTCTAGTAGTAGAATGTGATGATAACAAAGTATCTTCAGAAGAAATTGATATGCAATTAGCTGCTTTTTGTACATGTGTTAAAATGAAAACTATGGTTTGGCTGATAACAACTTGTCAACTTGTTTAATCCAATGTAATTTTGTGCAGAAATCTACAGGTCCTGTTCCCATTAAAACCAAAGAGCCTTCATCTCGGATTGGAAAGCTACAAGTAATTAACTTTACTGGCACTTCAACTTTCAAAAAAAAAAAATAAAATCTTCCTTGCCTCGCTGATGGCTTTCCCTGAACCAAAATCTTATTGCTTCCTTACCTTATTCTTGCAACGTTATTTTTTTTTCAGATGGCATATTTTTGATTGCTTTTTCTGTATTGCATGTTTAATATTATTTCCTCCTTGTTTCAGTCCTGACTCTAAACAGCACTATTTACTCATGTTGGGGGGGAGGGCAGAGGGTGGGCTCCTCTTTGAACTGCTACTGATCTTAGCACTACTAAGTATGATTAGAGACTCTTAGGGGGGACTATGGTTATGTCCCCCTTCTGACACAAAACGAGTAGTAACTGTCTATATCACAATACCATTCAAAGTCAGAACCAGTGTCTCCTCAGACAGAATACTAAGCTACACAGGTCTGTAACATAACTTGAGCCTGCTCTTCCTGAAGCTCTTACACAGAATAATACTGTTGACAATTCCACAGTTTTAGTGAGACAGAGCTTGTGGGAGACACAGAAGTTCTTATATGTGAGAAAAGCCAGGCACTTTAGAAGTAGAACTTGAATACTTAGATAAACTAGTTCTTTCAGCTTCTCTGGAGCACTACTAATGTGATCTCTTTTTGTGTGTGTGTTTTTGTTGTCTCTGTTTTGTAGGCTAACTTAGCTATTAACCCTTCAGCCTTACTACCTGGCGCAATGCCTAAAATCTCCAATGTCAAGTCTCCCTTACCAGTGCTGGACACTCCATTACATGAGCCCAAGGAGGTACAGAACAGTGAAGCCTTCCCTGCTGCAGGAAGCAATGAAGAACTGGGTGTAAGCTTTGATCAGCCCATGCAAGCAGACACCTTGCACAACGCCAATAAGGTAACATTGGTATTTAGGATAAGAGGAAGGGTTATTAAAAACACAGTCTGTACTTGTGCAGGAGTTTGTTATGGCATGCAAGTTCTGCTAACTGTGAGATTTATCTGAATCTAAATGGGAGTGTGAAAATCTAATCCCCTCTCACTTCCGTGGATCACTGAAGAGAAAGTCTAGCTTAGCACCTATACTTAGCTCAGTAAGGGGCTTAAGCATATACCTGGTGCCTTTTAAAGTACATGTGTACCTTTTCCAAATACTGGTTTTCCCTATTGGTTGAAGGTATGTTAGTATAACATCTTGTCCTATCCTAGGAGACACCAACCTAAAAAAATATTTAAAAAGACATCTTGCTAGGCTAACTATAAAACAGGTTGCAGGCAGCTGCTTTGACAAGCTATGCAGAACACATCACTGCTGTGAATATCCCTCTGTGGATAAAAATGCCATGCTGTTCTGGACTGTAACTCTCAATTCTTTTTCAAAGAAAAATTTTGTTTTCACACAAAGGAAAACAAAAATAAGTGTTTCAGTTTTTGACATGGCAAATCCTTGCCTCCTGACTCACTTGTTTTTCAGTCATACTTTCTACTTTATGGACTGCAAAAAGCATATTCTAATTAAAGCCTTAGTGGTTCTTTAAAAAGTGGAAATGTCAGCCATGTAGTTAAGATTTCATCTAGGTAACTATGATTTTATAAGTCTGTGGGGTTTCCTGAGAGCAGCAATTTGAGTAAGGTAACTTAAAATCTTAACTTTGATTCTTTCTTCCTTTAATGCTGATGAGGCTGTTCATTACTAGATGAGCAGCAGAGATGACTTGGCAAGGTGCAGCAGCTGTCACCACAATGGGTGACATAACCCCTTAGTGACAAATGGATGTGAAGCTTGTACATCAGCCTGGTGCATTACTATGTAGGCATAGTTGTTTCCAATAGCAGCGTGTTCTAACAGACAAAGCTCTCTATTGTAATACTTTTAAATAGACAGGCTTGCAAAGAATAGAGTGCCTGTAGCTGCATATTATCAACCTTGAATGTTTATTTTAGTGTAGTGATGATGCATGATTTTTAAAGAACTAATCAGAGAAGCCACATGTTGGTAACTATACAGTGAATGCTTTTTGTGGCTCAGGTCAGATGATGTAATTTTGGCATATCATTGCTTCTTCAACCTTTCAAGTTTGAGTGTAAATATATCCAGTCAAATGCACTTTTTTCCAATGGCTGGAACAAAGCAACCTGCTCAGCATTCTGCCCTTTCAAAGACCAGTGCATGAAGCAATTAACAAAAGGGAAGAAGACGTTGTAGTGATCCATTTCCTAGCCATGTAAATACTCCTGTCCATGTGGGATAGGGGAGAGGCTGTAATGGAAACTTGCAGGGGGCTTCCTTAAAAGCAGCAATTAACTGCAATAGGCTATGCATAAAATGAAATTTCGTGGAAAATGCAATTAGTCATGGCTTGAACTGTACTGTAAAAGCCCTTAGATTAGCAAGATAACAGGCTGACTACGGTATTACCTAAAGCAAAGGGGCTGGAGTGGCTTGCTGACCTGTTGTGACTCTGTTTGTGAGTGCTGTTGCTTTTATGCACCAGTTCCACTGCTGTGGAATGACTAAGGGCAGCAAATCAGAAATCCTGGGTTATATTTCTGAATCTTTCTCCAGACGACTCCAAGCTTGAATGTCTTGTGGGGCTTTTTCCTTATGTATGGTCCTGCTTTGCTTTTCCTCCTTCCTTGCAGACCAGGATCAGGGTTCCAGGGAAGCGCAGACCCCCTAGCAGAATGGCGCGCCGACTGGCTGCCCAAGAGGCCGGAGTGAGTGAGGAGGTGGACACTGCTAAAGAGTCACAAGTCTCTCTACCAAAACAGACGTCAGCAGTAGTGAACATAAAGGAACCTCTTGCTGCTGAAGCTGAGTCCAAGGAAAATGGCTTTCTCTCTAGCTTGTCACTACCAGCTCACAGCAGTGTTTCATCTGGTGGAGCAAACAGACTCCTTCCTCCAGAATCCACAGAAAATGGGGATGATCTGTTTGAATCTGAGGACCTTTTTGCAAGCAGTTCAACATCCAGACCAGCTGCACAATCAAAGTTGAAGGAGGAAATGCCAGACGGTATGGCTAACAAACCCATAAAGGGCAGGGAGAAAAAGCCTGATCTGGGTGATGAGGACAGCAATGATCTATTCCAGCCTGTACAACAAAAATCTTCAACAAAAAGCAGCCCTATACCTTTTTTGGAGGAAGAGGAAGATTCTCTCTTCACCTTTCAGAAAACTGGAAAAAAGGAGTTAAAATCTGCTGTTCTCCAAGCAGTTGACCCTAATGCCCAAGATATCTTTGAGGTAATGGCTGAACCTGCCACGTTGGGTTTTTTTGTTCCCCAGGGCCATATGCAGACCCCTCAAATTTTGGCTTAATGGAGGCTGCGGAATAGGATGGTGTGTGCAGGATGAGAGTGTGAAGTAAACTCTCAATCCTGCTCCACTGCTGGGATATAGAAACTCTTTTTTTGGTTGTTCAGCCCCTAACTAGCAGCAGTGGTTTAAAAAGTGGAGCCTTAACACAGAGCAGGCATGCTTTGAATGTGCTGTGACAACGTACCTTTTTCAGAATAATAAGGTATTTGGTTCTTATTTGTTAACTATCTGTACAATTCTCAGCAGCTAAATAATACTTTAAAAAGGAACAAAATTGGTGGTCTGGGCACTTGATACAGGCCTCTGTGTGCTGTACTTGACATGTATACAATCCAGTACTAAGGCACTTCTGCCAAGTCCCCCATGAGGAAAAGGGTCTCAAACTTCTTGCTAGTTAGGTTGGTAAAGACCATTCAGGTCATTGAGTTCAACCTTTGTCTGATAAGCCCAGGAAACCCGAGTCTTCGAAACATCTCAGCTGCTGTGTACAGATAATTTGACTATTCTCTTGAAGTGTGTTTTGGATTGATGAGATCTTTCTGTGTTTTCCTCTAAGGATGATATATTTGCTACTGAGGCAATTAAGCCAGTGACCAAAACGAAAGAGAAAATGCCAGAGACTAACCTGTTTGATGATAACATTGATATTTTTGCGGATCTAACTGCAAAATCAAAAGAAAAGAAGACCAAGAAGAAAGTGGAACAAAAATCCATATTTGACGATGATATGGGTAAGTATATATAGAAGTAAAAATCTTGCTACTAGTCTTCTAATATTGTCCTGAGTTTCATTCATCTATAATCTTTTAGAGCCCTTTGATTTCTTTTACTTTTCAAGTGCTCTGAAATCTCTGGTCATCTTTGGATTTGACCCTTGGATGAGAACTTTCTAGATTTGTAGAACTAGCATGGCATCTAAGTAGTTTAGGAAAGAGTATAAAATTGTTCTGAGATAAAGCTAAATTTCTGTAGGGAATTTCTCCAGACAAGTTTCTAAAGAGACTCATCTCACCTGTTTATGGCTCTGAGACAGATTCTGTATTTCAATTTTCACAGCTTTTTGTATTGTACTTTCAGATGAGTCACTGATATGAACAAATTAGCACCTCTGCCCATCCCACTTTCACTATTGTGTTAACTGCCTTGGAGCCCATAAGATTTTGTTTACATTTATGTATCCAGAAAAATTTACAAATACTACACCTGAAAGCAAAGATTTGCTATGTATAATTTGTTGAGAAAACAGCAAGTAGTAATGTGAAATGATGTGCAAAGCATGCTCCATCGGCAGATACTGAAAGTAATGTGATTTTCAGCTATGTCTGTTCTCAGGCTCTTCCTGTTCATAGCTCTTCTTTGAGATTGTATGTATTTCTTTTCTAAGACAAAATATCTCTAGCTTTGGTTTTTGTCGAATCTTCATTCCCTCTAACTTCCTCAAATTGAACCTGACTTACCACCATTTTACTTGGACTCTTGCTAAGCACTTTAGCCTGATTGCTGAAGACTGTAAATATGCTAAAAAATTTGCTGGAGAATGAGCATCTTGATATTTCAAAATCTTCTTGAGTGATATGAAAAATAAGACTTAAAGGTTTGTTAGAAAGGTATTTGAAATATATTTAGAATAGATTTGAAATTTTTTTTAAATCTTGTTTCAATAATTTACTTTTTTTCATGTAGTCTGTAGTAAGTGAAAGAATTTTCCAAGCAGTTACCCTTCCAAATATTCAGCACAAAAGTCTGAACTGAATGTTAAAAAAACAGTTGTAGAGTGATACTTGAAAATTAGCCACAACAGAACCTGTTGTTTGAACTTCCACTTTTGACATCAACTCCGGTGGTAAAGCTTTGTGTTTGATGTCACAGCTGATCTTGATGCCTGTTGCACCTAAAGCACCTGCATCTGATGGACTTGATCTTCCTGTAGAGTGGTGACTGTTCAGTGGTACAGCCATGGGCATGCAGCTCCTTGGTGCCCATGGAGCTCCAGAACACCAACAGGAGTGCAGGGAGGGATGCCTGAAGATGAGGATGTTCCGCTGGCAGTAGAGTTGTGGAACTGGCACTTGCCTACATTTCACATTAAGGGCTGGCTTAAGTGAACATGGTAACACTTTTACAGAGCTGTATATTGTTGTCTTAGGAGAACCTTTCTGCTGCAAATGAAATAGTAAATTTCAGCTGCAATTTGAGGGGTGTGAAGGCTGCAGGCTGTTTTCTTTTGTCCTACCACACCTTCCAGTCACTAGAGTCCTCATTCACCTTATAGCTGATGTCACCTCTGCTTGTCTTCAAAATGGTGACTGAGCTTTCTTGCACTCTGACAAATGCTGTGTTTTCCCTGGGTAAAATTGTCCTATTCTTTAAGCCTCTTTATAAAAAATGGGAATGATACCTCTACTGCTTATGGCACTCACTGTACTTCCTCTCTGCTGTAAAGCTAATCCATGTGACAGTTTCTTGCTTTGGAGTGATGCCAATAGGGGATTACTCTATTTTGCTGCCTCTCTAAACTGCTCTTGTGCTGAAATGTGGTCCTGGATTATTCCTGTGTAATCCCTATGATCAGCAGACACATGCTGAATTGGAAGTAGTGAGAAGAGACAGGGAAACACATTGTGCTAGACCACATTGTGCTTGGCGTCTTCTCAAGGTTAGGCTATGTGGTGAAGATTGAAATACTAGTTTCTATATACTCTGGTCTAGTAATTCACAGAATATTTCAATGAGTTGGAAGGGACCCACAAGGATCATCAAGTCCAGCTCTTAATGGGAATGGCCTATATGGGGATCAAACCCACAGCCTTGGTGTCATTAGAACCATGCTCTGACCAGCTAGACTCAGTGGCTATATTAACCTCTATATAACATCCATGTTTTCTTAATAGGGACTCAAGACCAGTTATGTGCTATTTACGCTGGCCTTGTGAATCACTAGTGATCCTCTTATCTAAGTCTTGCAATCTTTTGGTTTTATATTCCAACTGCATGATCTGAGTGTCCTACACTTTATATAGTATGAGATACACTGTTGTGTACACTCAGGAAACCTCAGGGCAACCCCTCAGTATGTGTATGGTAGCAGTTTCATCTCTTTCATGAGCACAGTCCTAAACACAACAGTTCTAGCCATAGCAAGAACTGCAGCACTGTGAGCTCTGCAGCTGATACAGGCTATCTGTGTTGGACGATTTAATTTCTGCATATTGTTGCCCTCTGCCTTAATGGCAGTGTGGTATTTTTCCACTTTGTGGTCCTAGTTATTCACAACAGATATGCTTGTATTGAGGAAGGTGGTGGGAAACCTTGATTCAAGACTGTAGACAGAGTTTTTGAATATTCATCAGGATGGTGGTTATAGCTGTCTGCCTCCTTGCATCTTAGCAATGGTCTCTTCTCAGGGGATTTATATTATGTTCTTACTGTGCTGTAGATTAGACTCATGGTTAGTGACTATCACCATAGTAGTTGCTAGCAATTACCATCTTTCCTCTTCTGATTTTCTTTAGCAACAGCCTCGCAGCTCTTGGATCTCTCAGGTTCCTCAGACACTAATGTTCCAGATAAGAGGGATGCTATCTGGCACTTGCATGATAGAATTTATTGTGGAGCTGTAATTTATTAGTACTTTACAAATGCTTATGAGAGCCTGAACATGTTATAAAATACAAGTATTACGCTGTCTGCTGAGAAGAGAAAAAAAATCTTACCGCTAACAGCTCCCATGTATGTCCTTACAAATGCATGCAGAATTGCAAGTAGCAGGAAAGCATTTGTTTATCACAGAATGTCCTTGGCAGTCACTGCTGTGTGATGGACTCTCTTGTGTACAATGTTGCTTCTGTTTAGTAGTCACTTGTCATTAAAATCTCTTTTTTGTTTCCCTCTTTAGATGATATTTTCTCTAGCAGCCAAGTCAAGATACCTACTCCTAAGACCAGATCTTCCCAAGCAACCTCAGAAGCAAAATCTGAGAGCAAGATCATGAGTACATTTGATGACCCGCTGAATGCCTTTGGAGGCCAGTAGTCATGAGGTTATGTTGCAGAGAAGCAGCCTTCCTTAACCCTGTCCAGTACTAATACTCTGGATTCTCTAATTCAGTAGAGCTGGAATGAGATGGACATGGATATTTAAATGAGATTACCCATTTAAAATGGTTAGTATTCTCTTGTGCTTGTCTAATCCTGCTAAATTATATATTTTTTAAAAAATACAATAACTTCCTGCTATCATGTTTTCCATGGTGCCGAGATGAATACAGCCTGTGCAATACCTGCAATGAAGTAATCTATTATATAAAGTATAGTTTGTTTTATTGAACAGATCTATAGATAAAATAATTGTTAAATAGTAAATGGAGTCTATTAAACTTGATTTGTTTGCATGTCTTACTTTCCTCTTTACCTCTTGCTTAGAATGTCTGCATCATGACTTGAAAGCAACCAAAATTACCACCATGCCTTGTCTGGGTCAGCTGCCACCTAATGAGCTAATGGGAGGGTAAGGCTGGGTTCAGTATCAGGCACAGCTGCTCTTACAGAATGAAGCAGTTAGGAAATCTCAGAGCAGGACTTGACATCAGCTCAAATGAGGTATTTCATATAGGCAGCTAATGTGGGCTATAAAAATAACGATGTCTAATGCTTCTCTGCCAGGAAGAGTGTGAAGACAACAGAAATCTAACAGTGTCTTCTGTTCAAGTTGTAGGCCATTAAATGAGTTTTTTTACCTCCATGGAGCTGCCAGAGTTGCAAATAACAGTATTCATAAAGTCCGTCTGTACAGAGCCCGCTTGGTCACTTCCAGGCTAACAAGCCTATGTACATACTTTATGCAAAGACTCTTTTGTGCTTAAAGGCTTGCTGTCTGCTTTCCCTTGTCATCCATAACAGTGTAAGCTGTATACAGGAGGTTGCTCCTCTGGAATCCCTCTAACTGTCAGATATATTTGGTTTAACTCTGCATCCTGTATTTTCTAGATTCCCTTCTGGAACAGATGCCATTAACCATACTTGATAGCCAGTGGTAGATGCTTGCTCTCCTGCATGCATACAAGCAGAGCAAATGCATAAATGCGGGAGGATCAAATGTTTATTTTATTGTACAAGTGACTGTCTGCAATTCTGACTAGATTCACTGCTTTTGTGATAGTGATTACTTTATGTTGGACTCTTAAGACTGTTCTCCTGTAAATTTAAAGCATGTGCTCAGAGGACCTCTTTGAAATCAACCCCCACTTGCACTGAAGTCGTCATTCTGAGACATCTGCTTCAGTCTCTTGTTGCCAAAGCTGGATTTCCTTTGTTGGGCACAATAAATACTACAGCTGAAACATCTAGCACTAATGAGGGTAAAGCAGAAGGAAAGGTTGGAAAGGATGAAGAAGAAACATGATATATCGATTTGCACCATAGGTGGGCCTGGCAATGATTCATGTTAAGTGGGGGTAAGCTGGGAGTAACAGCTTAAAAAAGAGAGTGGGGGCTATTTGCAAATGGGTATCTGCAGTGAAAACACTTGAACTTTATTTATAGGCATTACATCTGCTGCATATGCCTCATACATGATTTGGACTGCTTCTTTACTCCTTTCTTCTATGCTTAGAAGGGCTTCAAAGATATGATGGAGAAAAGAAGATGGTGAATTCTTCTGTTTCTTTTCTGCTTCTTTCTTCTTGGCCCTTCACATTAATACCTTCTGTTAGCATTGCAAAGGGCTTTTCACAAGCTGAGAACCCAGAGGGCCAAAAGCTCTTGGAGTAGAAAAAAAAAGCTCCTTAGTGTTTCTTAAACTTTCATGTGAAAGCTCAGCAGAGAAAAGCTCTTCATAGTGCAAGTTTCTGTGATGAAGATCAGAACCTTTCTTCTCACCTAGTCTTTCTTAACTGACAGAAAGTCTTTGTGCCTTTCCCCATGTCTCTTCACACATTGAATTGGGTGGTTGTCAATTTTAACAGACAGAGAACTAAGCACTTCACTTTTGGGGGGGGCTTGGTCTGAGTGGTGACTTCTTGAACTGGGTTATGACTAGAGGGTTTGATTTTGGGTTATGTTGGTTTTTTGGTGATTTGGGAGTTTTTTGTATGTTGGTTTACTTTTCCGGTTTGGTTTTTTTTTTTTTTTTGCAAATTCGATAAACCACGACTGTATATGGTGGGAAGGGCGGAGCTGAAGGCTCAGTATTACAGCGTCCAGAAGCTCTGACAGGCTCCCATACCCACTACATACTTCTCAAAAGCCACAGTTTCAACTGGGCCTGAAACCTAACAGCGAGTCACAGTAGGTCTTGCGTATTTTAAAACCTAAATGGGAAAGTACAGTGGTTAATGTAATTAGCACCTGCTAAGAGGATAAGCTTGTTTTCTCTAGCCTGTGATCATCCACGGGCCCCGCTGCTTTTGGAGCTTGCCCTGGCCCCTTCACGCTGAAACGAGAGCACAAATGAAGGTGTTCCAGAGCACTGCCTGGCCCCTGCCATGGCCGGGAACGTTTGTGTCCGGGCTGGGCACAGCGGGGCGGCTGCGCGCTGGGAGCGGGCCCGCCCCTGCCTGCCGGGCCCATCGCTGCATTCTGACACACCGGCAATGCCGGGGAGTCATCGGCCTGAGCGCAGGGTCTCGCTGCTGACTCTGCGGCTCGGTCCTGAGTAACGACCGGCGGTGTTCGGGGGAACAAGCCACCGGAGCCACCTTAGCCTTAACCTGCCCTGGCCGCCTCCCAGGCCCCGCCGCACTCCATGTCCCAGGAGGCAGCGCGGCCGCCGCCTTTGTCACGTGTTGTCCACCGGTATCGCTGGGGGCGTTGCCCAGACTCAGCGGTTTGGGGCGGAAGGGACCTGAAAGGCCACGCCGTTCCTCTCGGCCCAGAGCAGGGACACGTCCCGCGGGCCCGGGCTGACCGAATCCCCATCCAGCCCGGCCTTCAGCACTCCCCGGCATGGGGAAGTGGATCCGGGTCCTTCCCCGCGCACGCGCTGCCGCCCCGCGTCTTAACGACCACAACAAGCGGCCCGGCGGGCGCCCGCCCCTGAGGAACCGCGAGCCCCGCCCCCGGGGGCGCTGATTGGCCGAGGTTCGTGAGAGCTGGCGTCCCATTGGCCCGCGGCAGGAGCTGTCACAGGGCGGGGCAGCGCGGGGGCTGCCGGGCGGCACCTCCCAGTCCTGCCCCCCCGGCGGCTCCGGCTGCGCTCCCGGTCCGTGCGTCCCGCCGGGCCCGGCCGGCTCCGGCAGCTGTGGCGGGCGGGGCGGCGCGGGGGGAGGGGAACCGTGTCCCCCCCGAGCGGGCCCGGCGGCGGCAGATGAGGTGAGACCCCGCCTTCGTTCGGTGCGTTCCGGGCCCTCGGGAACGCCGCTCCTGCGGGGACTCTGCGGCGGCAGCGCCGAGGGCGGCGGGCAGAGGGGCCGTGCTCGAACCGCCCCGGGCCCGGCCCCGCCGGCGAGGCGCGTGTCCAGGGAGGAAGCGGGGCCGGGGCTGTGGTGGCGGGGCCCGCGGCCAGCCCGGGGGGCGAGGCCGCCCCGGGGCGCGGCGGGGACGGGGCAGCTGCTCGCCGTTCTTTCTTTGTTCGCGGGCGCTCCGCTCGGCTGCCGGGCTGTGGCCCCCGCTCCGCTGCGGCGCTGGACCCCGCTGGCGGGAGCACGGCTGAGCTGCCACCTCCAACTGCCTTTCCGGAGCCCGGAGCAGTCCCCGTTCCTACGCCTTTCTGGAGTTTTTCTCTAGCTCTGACACTGCGGAGGGCTCAGCTCTTGTCAGGAGGCATTGGGCGTCTGGTTGTCATGTCGCTTGTGGAAACAAAAATAACAAAGGTAGTAGGTTGCGTCTGGAATGCTGGCTGACATTAGGGCCCTAAAACGACAACGTTGGTGATACAATTTGTGCTTATCTTGCCCCACCTAGGTAATAACTTAATGTTTCTCAGCAGCCATTATGCATAAAATAAATTTAAATTCTCTTTCGTAGTTACGTTTAGATGTTGTCAGAACTATATTTGTTTGCTTTATAGGTGAAAAATCCTAAAGATGAACAGCAATGCACTACACGTGTCTTCAAAGCTGCCTTGGCTAGAAGTGGAATGTAGTTTCCTGACAGATCTTCTTACAAGGAAGTTGTAAATCCTTTCTAATGGCAAACAAGAAAGAGCCTCCTTTTTTTAATAAAGATAATATGGGACCATTTCACTACAAACTTCCTTTCTATGAAACTATGGAGCTCTTCATTGAAACGCTAACAGGAACCTGCTTTGAACTGCGAGTTTCCCCCTTTGAAACAGTTATTTCTGTGAAAGCTAAAATTCAAAGACTGGAAGGTACTATTCTCTCTTATTTCAGTGTAAAATTTATCACTTTAATCTTGTTTAAAAAATCATAATTGCTAAAATCGAATCAGAAAGCTTTAATGTCATGTTTAGCAATATGTATAAAAAAACAGGTGCTTAGTTTATGGCTTGGGTTTAATTGAAGTTGAGTTGCTTTTCTGTTCTTTCCATTTTCTATAAGCTCATGCCTTAGGCTTCACTGGAATTGGTATGTTTGCTCTTCTGGTGGGTTGGTTGGGGTTTTTCTCCTATGTACAGTTAAGGTTAATCTTTAAAAAAGTCTGTGGATTCTCTGACCCTAGGTGTTTGTTAACTAGCAAGGTTATAAATATGAGCCTTGCAATATGTGTATATTGTAACTGACCATCCTTTAAATTTGCTGCTATGTTTGTTGCTGATTAGGTTAGTCAGTTTATGGTTTTTTTATGATACTGCAGTCACAAGAGCAACTGCAGTGCAGGCAAATCCCAAAGGCAGCTTTAAGTTACTGATTTGAATTTTGTTTAGGTGAGTGATCTTTTGCTGCTAGATAATTGCTCTGGCTGAGCAATGCTTATCTTA